GCGCCCCCCCCCCCCCCCCAAACCATAAAACAATAATAAAGAACATATGAGGGAAATACACGGTAAGTAAGGTAGTGGTGGCCAACTTTCAGGCTGGACAAGGCTGTGGGGTGGCTCAGTGCAGCCCACAGCCAGCCCCTGCTCTCAGCCCAGGGAAGGGAGCAGTTGGTGGCTGTTCAAATGTTCTACTTCCCTCCTCTCTGTTCCCTGCCATCTCCTACCCCATGGGCCTGCACATCTTCCCCTTTTTCAATGGACGTGTACATGCAGGCTGCATCATGAGGTAGGTGTAACTCTTCGCTGGTCACCATACAGAGGTGAGATACCAAACTGCAACCCTTGTGTGTCTCCTGAGGAAGCTTGTCTCAACAAAGGGTTGGGCACTGTTGTTATAAGAGGCAGGATCAGACAACTCAGGAAAGTAGATGGTCTCAATTTATCACTACGCTCTTGACCGTAGATGCCACAGGAAGTCCCTGAGTCCATGCTGGGTACCGTAATTGGCAGCTACATTATTGCCTGTAGTCCCTCTTGTCAGCTGTAGACTTCACCCCCTGACAGTAACACTTCCCTGCTTTGCCAAGTAAATTCACTAAGGCCTCTGTGGCGGTCAGATATTACAGAGACTCTAGGGACCATATAGAAAAATAGCAATCCCCATTATGCCTATCCATGATGTAGAAAAAAGTTTATCTTATGTTATATTCACTTTATTTCCACAAATTTTTCTGTGCCATTGTAAATCATTGTATATGTTCTGATTTCAGCACTGCTTGATTTATATTGGGTGAGAGGTTCTTGCTATATCTGTGCTGCAATAGAGAATGTGGTAGATGAACTTGTAATTAATCATGAGCAAAAAAGATATTACATCCCAGAGGCATAAAAGGTTTAGTGGGAGCTGTCAGAGCTTTGGAAGAAATACCTTTTTTTTTTTTAATTACTAGCAGATTTTTTTCCCCTCATTTTAAATTATTATCATTACAGAATAATTGTTTGTGCTTAAACTTATTTTTACTACAGGTAACAGTTAAGCTGGGCCACTGCATTATCTGTAGGAACATACAGGGTCAAAATGCAGATGAAAGCATAAATGTTGGATGTTTATACCAGGAGTAGAGGAACAGAGGCCTGTTTCCATATGAAACCCCTCTTGGTCACAGAATCTTGACAATTTTACTTTGTTGTCCTACTTTTCACTAGAAAATTCAAGTTTAAAAAACAACTGAGAGGCAAACAAATCTGGCAGAGAGAAGCCAGAAGTAATCTCCTGCAGTAAACTTGCTTTAGTGCCTTTCTTTTCTGTGAGGGTCTCCTATCTCTTGGACCTAAAGCAGAACTGACGACCCTTGCCATTTAATACCAATGGCCCAGATTTGTCTCCTGAAATGTCACTGTCCATGCCCCTAGAGAAAATGATTTATCCCACATACCTTTTAACATGGGTCAAATTGCTCTCTGGAAGATAGGGATTTATTGGACCAAATGAGAGTGTGTTTGGTGGAGACATGTATGTCTGAGTTAAGTGTCTGGACTCCTTTTATACCAACCAGGAGGAGGAATTGCTTCCAGCACACATCTTGTCTCATCTCACAGGAGATGTCTGACATAGGTCTGTTGACTGCCCCTCTGGAGATGTCTGTTCTCTCCTTTGTCTATAAAGTCCAGATGATAGCAATTGCAACGCAAACATTTCAAGGGAAAATGAATCCCATGCCTATCACCTATCCCTTTTTTGGAAAAAAGGGGAGATCTAAACACCTGATGATCTCAGTAGCTACCTTTGAGATTAGCTTAGGTGAGCTGAACATCACACAGAGGGGCTGGCTGTGATGAGATGAGCAGTTTTACTTTGCTCAGTTTGTTCATAGCTTCCTGCAGGTGGATTGAGAGGAAGAAAAAGAAACAAATGCAGACTCCACGGATACATATTAAACCAGTTACTCTTTTTGATGCGAAGTTTGGCCTAAGTTCAGCTTGGCCGCACTGACTGAAGGACTCTGTGTGCTGACTGTTGAAGCTAATTTGTTTTGGAAGAGCTGCTTGTGTTACTCTGATTAATGCTGGTTGCTTTCCTTCTCTATATCCTCCGTGGAAGTCAAGCTAATTTGGATTCACTGGCATCGCAAAGGCAAGCAACAGTTCAGTGACCCACTTGTGTAGTCTAAGAACAATGAGGTTTTTTTCCTGTAAAGAAGCAATTCCTGGGTCTGGCTTTCAGGGATACACAGAGGGGTGCTTTGAAGGCTGGAGTTTTAAGGAAAAAAGCTTCATAAATCTGTGACATTTCCAGAGAGATCTTATTGCCTGGAGATGACCAATAAAGGGCTGGCTTCAACATTTGCACAAATA